TTTTCCACCTCAATCCATCACCTGTGCGGGTCACCACGGCCAGGACTTCTCTGCCCACGTAGGACTTGGCTTGGATGACCTGGGTCCCACAGAACAGCGTGTGTCTCCGGTGCTCCTCGGGGGAATAGAGGGTGCCAGCTGCCTGGTTGCCACCCGGGAGAGGGGTTTTCATCACCGGCACGCTCTCCCCTGCGGTGAGGAACACCACGGAGGGAGGTTTGTCACCCTTGGTGGGCATCAAGATCCCAACCAAGGTGGGAAGGAGCTGGAGTAAGGTCAGTGAGGGACCAAAGCTTGGCCTCTCCCCCAAAATCCAGCACGGGGTGGTGGTGGAGACGTGCAGCCCACTGGGTGTTGGGGCTCTCACCCGTCAGCATGCTCTCGTTGACCATGCACTCGCCCGTCAGCAGCGCCGCGTCGCAAGGGACCAGCATCCCGTCGGCGGGGAGGCTGATGCAGTCGCCCGGCACCAGGTCTGCTGAGCTCACCACCATCTCCTCTGGAAAACAGCATGGCCGTGCTCAGGGACGTCATCATCCCAACATTATCCACAGGAGCATCATCCCGGCATCATCCCCAGGGACATCATCCCAGCATCGTCCCCAGGAACGTCATCTTGAGGAACATCATCCCAGTATCATCCCCAGGGACATCATCCTGGTATTGTCCCCAGGAACATCATTCTGAGGAACACCATCCCAGTATCATCCCCAGGAATACCACTCTGGCATCGTCCCCAGGAATGTCATCCCAGCATCATCTCCTAGGAACGTCATCCCAAGGAACGTAATCCCAGTATCGTTCCCAGGAACATCATCCCAGCAGCATCCCCAGGAACATCATCCCAGTATCATTCCCAGGAACATCATTCCAGCAGCATCCCCAGGAACATCATTCCAGCAGCATCCCCAGGAACATCATCCCGACATCATCCCCAGGAATGTCATCCCAGCATGAGCCCCAGGAATGTCATCCCGGCATCGTCCACAGGAACGTCATCCTGAAAAACGTCATCTCAAGGAACGTCATCTCAGTATCATCCCCAGGGACATCATCCCGGCATTGTCCCCAGGAATATCATCCCAGTATTGTCCCTAGGAACATAATCCAGGCATGGTCCCCAGGGACATCATCCCAGCATCATCCCCAGGAATGTCATCCCAGTATCATCCCGAGAAACGTCATCCCGGCATGAACCTCAGGAACATCATCCTGAGGAACGTCATCCCAGTATCATCCCCAGGGACATCATCCTGGCATTGTCCCCAAGAACATCATCCTGAGGAACATCATCCCAGTATTATCCCCAGGAATACCACCCTGGCATAGTCCCCAATATGTCATCCCAGCATCATCCCCTAGGAACATCATCCCAAGGAACGTAATCCCAGTATCGTTCCCAGGGACATCATCCCAGTATCATTCCCAGGAACGTCATCCCAGCATCGTCCCCAGGAATGTCATCCCAGTATTGTCCCCAGGAACGTCATCCTGAGGAACATCATCCCAGTATCATCCCCAGGAATACCACCCTGGCATCGTCCCCAGGAATGTCATCCCAGCATCGTCCCCTAGGAACGTCATCCCAAGGAACATAATTCCAGTATTGTCCCAGGAACATCATCCTGGCATCGTCCCCAGGAATGTCATCCCAGTATTGTCCCCAGGAAGGTCATCCAGTGATCGTCCCCAGGAACGTCAACCCAGCATCATCCCCAGGAACATCATCCCGGCATCATTCCCAGGAACATCAACCCAGTATTGTTCCCAGGAATGTCATCCCGACATGAACCTCAGGAACATTATCCTGAGGAACATCATCCCAGTATCGTTCCCAGGAACATCATCCCAGCATCGTCCCCAGGAATGTCATCTCAGCATGAGCCCCAGGGACATCATCCTGGCATTGTCCCCAGGAACATCATCCCAGCATAGTCCCCAGGAATATCATCCTGGCATTGTCCCCAGGAATGTCATCCCGGTATCATCCTGAGGAACGCCATCCCAGTATCACCCCCAGGGACATCATCCCGGCATTGTCCCCAGTGGCTTTGTGCCTGGAGCCCTCGCTCATCGCGGGCATCGCTCTCACCTCCGCTGGGGCGATGGACTCGGACACCGACTGACATCTTGGCCATGTTCTGCAGCGTGGCAGTTTGCTGCGAGGGAGGGAGCAGTTAGAGCACACCAAAAAGTAGTTCCAAAAGCCCAGAAAAGCAACCATAAAACAGGTCTGGAAGGCTGAGGACCATGGATGAAGGACAAGTAAACCTGCTCCACCGTTGGTGTACGGGTTGTCCTCACCCAACTGGGCTCAGAGGGAGTTGAGCATCACCACAGGGGTCAAACGGCAGCAGAAAAGGGGAATATTCTGCTAGAGCTGCTTGTCCCAAACAAGCCCACCACCAACCTTCCTTGTCTCGTAGAGGGACAGCCCTAAGGAGATGGTGGAGATGAGGAAGATGCAGGCGGCGTAGTAGTAATAGGCATCGCAGACCCACAGCACGATGCTGAACACTTGGAAGATGTAGAAGGGATTGAGCACCTGGAAGAGAACAAGGAGAGAGGGTTTTTTTTTTTGGGGGGGGGGGAAGAGCTTCCTCCAGCCCACCGTGAAATCTCCAAGCTCCTTGAGGAACAACTGCTTATGCAGAGGAGAAGATGGCCCTTCCTCCAGCCCACCGTGAAACCTCCAGGCTCCTTGAGGAACAACTGCTTATGCAGAGGAGAAGATGGCCCTTCCTCCAGCCCACCGTGAAACCTCCAGGCTCCTTGAGGAACAACTGCTTATGCAGAGGAGAAGATGGCCCTTCCCTGGGGCTGGGGATGAAGTAGCAGACTCCTCGCAAACCCCCCCCATCCTCCCTGGCTCTGCTTATGGTGGGTTCTCCTGAGGTTGCTCAGCCACCTCCACAACTCCCTGGGGATGCTCCTGTCTGAGCCAAGAGGCAGGACAGGGTCCCCTCTGCATCAGCTCTACCTTCTCTCATCTCTGCCCCACAGCTGCTTCTCCTAAAAGTCCTTTCTCCTCCCCAGGGAGGGACACGGAGCAGGAGAAGGACCTGCCCAGGGGTCAGGTCTTCAAAGCACAAAGGGTTCAAGGGTTCCAAGCATGGCCCACCTCCTCCACCAACAGCCGCGCGTAGGACTTGACGGGCACCTCGATGAGGTTGGGTCCGTAGATCTTCCTTCTGGAGAAGGGGAGAGAAAAAGGAAAGGGGGGAAGCAAACACACACTAGGGAAAAATCTGCATTTCCAACCCGAGGGACCCTCATGCTGCCAAGATCTCCACAGGAGGTCGGCTACATGGAGAAGCCAAGCCAGGGCAATCCAGCACAGACAGGAATCTTCTATTTTGAGGTCTGGGTGTTAAGAAAAACCCAGACTCCAGGATTTTCTGGCCCCTGGAAAAGCCTGATCTATGCTCCCCGGGCATCCCATGAATCTGGAAGGTCCCTACCTGGTGTTGTGGTCTTGCTGGTGGAGCCCAGCCTGGGCGAGGTGGAGATCTGCGCAGGTCCAGCCTTCATCCAAGACGCTGGCGAGCCCGAGGGGCGGGGGGGGAAAGAAAAAGAGAGGAACGGAGTCCAAATCAGCAGGAGCCTGGCCCGGCAGAAGAAATAACCACGGCCAAGTCCTTGGTGACACACACACAAAAAAAACCCCACCACCCCCCTCTTTGGGAAAGGGAGAGCATCTTGTTCCTCGGCATCCACCGCAGCTCGCGGGCGCCAAGGAGCAGGGACAAAAGGGACACGGGGCAGTGGGGACCCGTCCAGCAGAGGGGCAGATGCCAAACCAGTTCCCACTGCCCACAAAGACGGACAACATCAACAACTCTGGAGGACAGGGGGGGAAGGAGAACAGCTTTCCCCGACCTGACGCCCTGGAGATGGTCTCCAAAGGCTTTGTAGGGCGGGGAAAAAGCTCCAGCCGTGGTTATGTGACATCCAGATGGGTCGGGATCACTTTGGGGGGGGTTGAGGGGTGTAAGGAGAGCAGTGGAGGGCTGCAGAGAGGTTCTCCGTGGTGGTGGTGGGGCTGGGGGGTCAGGAATACCTGACTTTGCAGTAGGCCTGCCGCCGCTCGATCCAGACGTAGCGCATGCCCTCGAAGAGGTAGTACCTCAAGATGTTCTTCTGAGGGGAGCAGGGTGGAAAAAAAGAAAGAAGGAGGTGTCAGTGGGAGAGGAAGGCAGGTGACACCCAGGGAGAGGATTTTGCGGGGATGGAGGTGGGAAGGGTCGTTGGTGTCACCTCTTCCTTCTCGTGGAGGCGGATGGTGTCCCGGTTCTCCTCCTCATCCGCCACGCCGATGGCGATGCTGGTCCTCCGGTCCTCCAGCCGGGCCCCGGGGTGGTGCTCCAGGCTGCTCGGGGTGGGAAACCAAGGGTTGGTCCCTCCCCATCCACAAACTCCCCCTCTCCCTCGAAACCAAAAGCCCATGGGAGCCCCAGCATCGCGGTGGGGACAGAAACCCCCGGCGTCGTGGTGGGAATGGAAGCCCCAGCATCACCTCAAGGATGGGACCTGGGCATCACAGTGGCCAAAAGCCCGTGGGAGCCCCCACATCGCGGTGGGGACAGAAACCCCCAGCGTCGTGGTGGGAATGGGAGCCCCAGCATCACCTCAAGGATGGGACCTGGGCATCACAGTGGTGGGACAGGAGCCCTGGCATCATGGTGGGAGGAGAGGAGCCCTGGCATCACTGCAGGGATGTGAGCCCCAGCATCACGGTGGGGTGATGGGAGCCCTGGCTTCGTGGTGGGGGGACGGGAGCCCCAGTGAGGGCATGGGAGCATCATGGTGGGGACATGAGCCCTGGCATTGGGGTGATGGGAGCCCTGGCTTCATGGTGGGGACAGGAGCCCTGGCATCATGGTGGGGACAGGAGCTCCAGCATCATGGTGGGGACATGAACTCCAGCATCATGGTGGGGACATGAGCCCTGGCATCCCCATGGGGACATGAGCTCTGGCATCACAGCAGGGACAGGAGCCCTGGCATTGTGGTGGGGGGACGGGAGGTCCCACATCACCAAGGGGATGTGAGCCCCAGCATCGTGGTGCGGGGACAGGAACCCTGGCTTTGTGGTGGGGGCATAAACCCTGGCATCGTGGCAGGAGGACAGGAGCTCCAGCATCATGGTGGGGTGATGGGAGCCCTGGCTTCATGGTGGGGACAGGAGCCCTGGCATCACTGCAGGGATGTGAGCCCCAGCATCATGGTGGGGTGATGGGAGCCCTGGCTTCATGGTGGGGACAGGAGCCCTGGCATCACTGCAGGGATGTGAGCCCCAGCATCATGGTGGGGTGATGGGAGCCCTGGCTTCATGGTGGGGACAGGAGCCCTGGCATCACTGCAGGGATGTGAGCCCCAGCATCATGGTGGGGTGATGGGAGCCCTGGCTTCATGGTGGGGACAGGAGCCCTGGCATCACTGCAGGGATGTGAGCCCCAGCATCATGGTGGGGTGATGGGAGCCCTGGCTTCATGGTGGGGACAGGAGCCCTGGCATCACTGCAGGGATGTGAGCCCCAGCATCATGGTGGGGTGATGGGAGCCCTGGCTTCATGGTGGGGACAGGAGCCCTGGCATCACTGCAGGGATGTGAGCCCCAGCATCATGGTGGGGTGATGGGAGCCCTGGCTTCATGGTGGGGACAGGAGCCCTGGCATCACTGCAGGGATGTGAGCCCCAGCATCATGGTGGGGTGATGGGAGCCCTGGCTTCATGGTGGGGACAGGAGCCCTGGCATCACTGCAGGGATGTGAGCCCCAGCATCATGGTGGGGTGATGGGAGCCCTGGCTTCATGGTGGGGACAGGAGCCCTGGCATCACTGCAGGGATGTGAGCCCCAGCATCATGGTGGGGTGATGGGAGCCCTGGCTTCATGGTGGGGACAGGAGCCCTGGCATCACTGCAGGGATGTGAGCCCCAGCATCATGGTGGGGTGATGGGAGCCCTGGCTTCATGGTGGGGACAGGAGCCCTGGCATCACTGCAGGGATGTGAGCCCCAGCATCATGGTGGGGTGATGGGAGCCCTGGCTTCATGGTGGGGACAGGAGCCCTGGCATCACTGCAGGGATGTGAGCCCCAGCATCATGGTGGGGTGATGGGAGCCCTGGCTTCATGGTGGGGACAGGAGCCCTGGCATCACTGCAGGGATGTGAGCCCCAGCATCATGGTGGGGTGATGGGAGCCCTGGCTTCATGGTGGGGACAGGAGCCCTGGCATCACTGCAGGGATGTGAGCCCCAGCATCATGGTGGGGTGATGGGAGCCCTGGCTTCATGGTGGGGACAGGAGCCCTGGCATCACTGCAGGGATGTGAGCCCCAGCATCATGGTGGGGTGATGGGAGCCCTGGCTTCATGGTGGGGACAGGAGCCCTGGCATCACTGCAGGGATGTGAGCCCCAGCATCATGGTGGGGTGATGGGAGCCCTGGCTTCATGGTGGGGACAGGAGCCCTGGCATCACTGCAGGGATGTGAGCCCCAGCATCATGGTGGGGTGATGGGAGCCCTGGCTTCATGGTGGGGACAGGAGCCCTGGCATCACTGCAGGGATGTGAGCCCCAGCATCATGGTGGGGTGATGGGAGCCCTGGCTTCATGGTGGGGACAGGAGCCCTGGCATCACTGCAGGGATGTGAGCCCCAGCATCATGGTGGGGTGATGGGAGCCCTGGCTTCATGGTGGGGACAGGAGCCCTGGCATCACTGCAGGGATGTGAGCCCCAGCATCATGGTGGGGTGATGGGAGCCCTGGCTTCATGGTGGGGACAGGAGCCCTGGCATCACTGCAGGGATGTGAGCCCCAGCATCATGGTGGGGTGATGGGAGCCCTGGCTTCATGGTGGGGACAGGAGCCCTGGCATCACTGCAGGGATGTGAGCCCCAGCATCATGGTGGGGTGATGGGAGCCCTGGCTTCATGGTGGGGACAGGAGCCCTGGCATCACTGCAGGGATGTGAGCCCCAGCATCATGGTGGGGTGATGGGAGCCCTGGCTTCATGGTGGGGACAGGAGCCCTGGCATCACTGCAGGGATGTGAGCCCCAGCATCATGGTGGGGTGATGGGAGCCCTGGCTTCATGGTGGGGACAGGAGCCCTGGCATCACTGCAGGGATGTGAGCCCCAGCATCATGGTGGGGTGATGGGAGCCCTGGCTTCATGGTGGGGACAGGAGCCCTGGCATCACTGCAGGGATGTGAGCCCCAGCATCATGGTGGGGTGATGGGAGCCCTGGCTTCATGGTGGGGACAGGAGCCCTGGCATCACTGCAGGGATGTGAGCCCCAGCATCATGGTGGGGTGATGGGAGCCCTGGCTTCATGGTGGGGACAGGAGCCCTGGCATCACTGCAGGGATGTGAGCCCCAGCATCATGGTGGGGTGATGGGAGCCCTGGCTTCATGGTGGGGACAGGAGCCCTGGCATCACTGCAGGGATGTGAGCCCCAGCATCATGGTGGGGTGATGGGAGCCCTGGCTTCATGGTGGGGACAGGAGCCCTGGCATCACTGCAGGGATGTGAGCCCCAGCATCATGGTGGGGTGATGGGAGCCCTGGCTTCATGGTGGGGACAGGAGCCCTGGCATCACTGCAGGGATGTGAGCCCCAGCATCATGGTGGGGTGATGGGAGCCCTGGCTTCATGGTGGGGACAGGAGCCCTGGCATCACTGCAGGGATGTGAGCCCCAGCATCATGGTGGGGTGATGGGAGCCCTGGCTTCATGGTGGGGACAGGAGCCCTGGCATCACTGCAGGGATGTGAGCCCCAGCATCATGGTGGGGTGATGGGAGCCCTGGCTTCATGGTGGGGACAGGAGCCCTGGCATCACTGCAGGGATGTGAGCCCCAGCATCATGGTGGGGTGATGGGAGCCCTGGCTTCATGGTGGGGACAGGAGCCCTGGCATCACTGCAGGGATGTGAGCCCCAGCATCATGGTGGGGTGATGGGAGCCCTGGCTTCATGGTGGGGACAGGAGCCCTGGCATCACTGCAGGGATGTGAGCCCCAGCATCATGGTGGGGTGATGGGAGCCCTGGCTTCATGGTGGGGACAGGAGCCCTGGCATCACTGCAGGGATGTGAGCCCCAGCATCATGGTGGGGTGATGGGAGCCCTGGCTTCATGGTGGGGACAGGAGCCCTGGCATCACTGCAGGGATGTGAGCCCCAGCATCATGGTGGGGTGATGGGAGCCCTGGCTTCATGGTGGGGACAGGAGCCCTGGCATCACTGCAGGGATGTGAGCCCCAGCATCATGGTGGGGTGATGGGAGCCCTGGCTTCATGGTGGGGACAGGAGCCCTGGCATCACTGCAGGGATGTGAGCCCCAGCATCATGGTGGGGTGATGGGAGCCCTGGCTTCATGGTGGGGACAGGAGCCCTGGCATCACTGCAGGGATGTGAGCCCCAGCATCATGGTGGGGTGATGGGAGCCCTGGCTTCATGGTGGGGACAGGAGCCCTGGCATCACTGCAGGGATGTGAGCCCCAGCATCATGGTGGGGTGATGGGAGCCCTGGCTTCATGGTGGGGACAGGAGCCCTGGCATCACTGCAGGGATGTGAGCCCCAGCATCATGGTGGGGTGATGGGAGCCCTGGCTTCATGGTGGGGACAGGAGCCCTGGCATCACTGCAGGGATGTGAGCCCCAGCATCATGGTGGGGTGATGGGAGCCCTGGCTTCATGGTGGGGACAGGAGCCCTGGCATCACTGCAGGGATGTGAGCCCCAGCATCATGGTGGGGTGATGGGAGCCCTGGCTTCATGGTGGGGACAGGAGCCCTGGCATCACTGCAGGGATGTGAGCCCCAGCATCATGGTGGGGTGATGGGAGCCCTGGCTTCATGGTGGGGACAGGAGCCCTGGCATCACTGCAGGGATGTGAGCCCCAGCATCATGGTGGGGTGATGGGAGCCCTGGCTTCATGGTGGGGACAGGAGCCCTGGCATCACTGCAGGGATGTGAGCCCCAGCATCATGGTGGGGTGATGGGAGCCCTGGCTTCATGGTGGGGACAGGAGCCCTGGCATCACTGCAGGGATGTGAGCCCCAGCATCGTGGTGCGGGGACAGGAACCCTGGCTTTGTGGTGGGGGTATAAACCCTGGCATCGTGGCAGGAGGACAGGAGCTCCAGCATCACAGTAAGGGGACAAGAGCCCCGGCATCGTGGTGGGGGGACAGGAACCCTGGATTTGTGGTAGGGACAAGAACCCTGGCATCTCAGTGGTGAGACAGGACCCTGGCATCATGGTGGGAGGACGGGAGCCCTGGCATCACTGCAGGGATGTGAGCCCCAGCATCATGGCAGGGTGATGGGAGCCCTGGCTTCGTGGTGGAGGGACAGGAACCCTGGTTTTGTGGTGGGGGCATGAACC